GTGTTGTCTAGTGCTTTGAGATGTATCAAAATAAGGTCAACAAAAAAGTCCGTGATGGTATATGTCTATCTCTTAAGGATAACCAACAATAACCATTTTTTATCTTTTACATTTTACGGGATTTTTTTTTATCGTATGTTTCCCTTAAAATCATGTAAACTATGTTATTATGTCATAATCTAAAGAAATAATAATATTTTATAGTGACATATCCACTATAAAATACCAAAAAGTAGCAATGTAATTCGTTACGCGCGAATCAGGTGTTATAAGGTCAAAGGTCGGTGCACCCCGCGTATTTGATAAATAGTGCTTCTCTGGATGTCTTTAAGAGAAAATGGCAGTATGTACGTGTATATGTACAAGTCCTTAAGTGTTAAGTTTTTCAAATGTACAATAAAGAATAAATATTTTTAAGTACAGTACTTACGTACATTAATATAATACCTACTTTTTACTTGTATCTATTGTTATCAAAATTAAATTATAAGTTCTTAACTTGACCACGACTATGTGACCCTCTCTTGGCGCCAAAACGAGTGAAAAAATGAACAGCATACGACGACGACGCAGTACCTATAGAGTGGAGCAACTGCTTATTCAGTTTTATTCAACTATTTAGTCCCTCCACCGTTACAATGAATGGAGGCGGATATTACAATGTACGTAGCATTGCGAATATAAAATATCTAGATTAGGTATAATAAATTCATAATTCATAGGCCGTTACGGTATCAGAGCCAAAGTCTTCTTTCTTTGTTTATGTACTGTTAGATGCGACAGCGACTTTGTTTTTATATTACTATGTAATTATTGATATACCTAAAATAAATAAAATATCTGAGGTTTGGACAAAAATTCAAAAGGTACTTAATTTTTAAAAAGTATTTTGAAAATACCTATTTTGCATTTAGTATTTGAAATACAAAACACAAAACTATTTTTGTTTTTAGAGTGACATTTCTATGAATTCACTGTCGATAGCGAGCGGTGCGATGGAAAAAGATAACCGTTTATAAAAATATAATAAATAACCCTGGACAATTAACACAGACTGATACTGAACTGATATAAATAGATATTTTTATTTTGTAAATACATATATAATATACATATAAAACACCCAGACCGATGAAAACAATCGATGACCGATGAGTACAAATGTTTGCATCGTGCGAGAAATCGAACCCGCGACCATCGGATGTAAAGCGGTGTGACCACCGAGGCAGTCGAAATATATAAATAATCTTATGAATTTAATTTATTCTAATTTGTTTATGTGCGCGGGGTGCGGTGTACGGTGCTCCCCCTGCCTCCACCGTTGCTGGAGCTTGCATGTATGGAGCATTGCGAATATAAAATATCTAGATTAGTAAATTCATAATTGATAGACCGTTACGGTATCTATATATATTCGGATTAAAATAAGTATCGCAGTAAGGACCAGTATATAAAGTGATCAACACAATTAACTGATTTTTGAAATATATATACAGAGCCAAAAAGTCTTTATGTATTCAAAAAATATCTAATTTGTTTGTGTGCGCGGGGTGCGGTGTACGGTGCAGGGGGACCCTGCCTCCACCGTTGCTGGAGCTTGCATGTATGGAGCATTGCGAATATAAAATATCTACATTAGTAAATTAATAAATTCATAATTGATAGACCGTTACGGTATTTATATATATTCGGATGAAAGTAAGTATCGCAGTAAGGACCAGTATACATATAAAGTGATCAACACAATTAATTGATTTTTGAAATATATATACAGAGCCAAAAAGTCTTTGTGTATTCAAAAAATATCTAATTTGTTTGTGTGCGCGGGGTGCGGTGTACGGTGCTCCCCCCTGCAACGGTGGAGTTACTATGTATGGAGCATTGCGAATATAAAATATCTAGATTAGTAAATGACTAAATTCATAATTGATAGACCGTTACGGTATCTATATATATTCGGATGAAAATAAGTATCGCAGTAAGGACGAGTATATAAAGTGATCAACATAATTAATTGATTTTTGGAATATATTCAGAGCCAAAAAGTCTTTGTGTATACCAAAAATTTAGCCGTTCGGAGCCATTCAGTCACGAATTATTAGTAAAAAAAGTGTCGAGTATATCGTACTATCGACGAATATATATGGCCGCATCGCAAAATAGAATGCGACGTTGCCATACCGCCTGAGATATACGCGATAGGAGTCAAGTTATTCAGTGCAAAAGGTGGAATCGGCAAGTGTTTAGGTTGTGGCGTGATCAACAAAGTGCCCAAAGAGGTGTTTATATATATATATACTTGCAAACATGGAATAATCTATACATATAAATAAAATTGTAGTGTCTGTTTGTAATACTGAAATAACCGTTTTTTACTACATGCATACGACTATAAATACGGTACATATACCAAAATAACAAATTTTACCATTTTTGTCTGTCTGTCGGTCTGTTTATTCCGGCTAATCTCAGAAATGGCTGAACCGATTTTGACGTGACTTTTATTGGCAGGTAGCTGATGTAATAAGGAGTAACTTAGGCTACTTTTATTTTAGAAAATAAAGTAAAATTCCTCGCGGACGAAGTCTCGGGAACAGCTAGTAGTGAATAAAATACAATGTTATACGAATGATTAGACTACAAACTCAATATCCGTTAACTGACCATTTTTCATAGGATGTACCAACAAATAATCTATAAAAAAAAAACGGTGTAATCATTAGAAGAATTATCTAGAATTAATTGAAACCGTAGTCATATGGTAATAGTTGTTTAGCTATTCGTGTACCTAAACATGGAGGATTGAATAATGAATATTAAAATGAAGTCTTTATAATAGACAACCAACGACAATACTGTCTATTACGTTAGGTATTTACAAGTGTTTTTTTTTATTTAATTTTTACTAGCCGTTCCCGCCACTTCGTCCGCGTGGAGTTTAATTTTATTTTTCTAAAATAAAAGAAGCCTAAGTTACTCTGTATTACATCAGCTACCTGCCAAAAAAAGTCCCGTCAAAATCGGTCCAGCCATTTCAGAGATTAGCCGGAAGAAACAGACAGACAGACAAGAATTGTGAAAAATGTTATTTTGGTGTATGTACCGTATTTATATTCATATGCATGTAGTAAAAAACGGTTACTTTTATTTTAAAAAAATTCTGATGTTTTAGTAAAATAAAGTTAAATTCCAGTACAGAGTACAGCTAGTTATAAAATAATTGTTAAATAGTAAAGTGCCTATAATTTGAAAAAAAAATGTGATATAATTGTCTGTAATTGTGAATAAAGAATTTATCTATCTATTTATTTATTGATTTATTTATTAATTTTTTTATTTAATTAACACAATATAAACTTACAGCTAATTGCCAAAACGTTTATATTTTAAAACTATTTATACTACTTAAAATTATACGATCATAAAAATATTCTTATTTTAGTTTATTCTATGTATATAATAGTTGCATTATAACACGTAGAATAATAAAATGCCACGTAACGTTAGATAAACACTATTACCACTTCATTTAACGTCACTTAATTCACGTAGTCGTTAATACATATATATAATTACTAGCTGTCCCGGCAAACGTTGTTTTGCCTTAATATAAAAAAAAAATTGGGGTGGCCTACCTCTAACATTTAGGGGGATGAAAAATAGATGTTGGCCGATTCTCAGATCTACTCAATACGCTCAAAAATTTCATGAGAATCGGTCAAGCCGTTTCGGAGGAGTATGGGAACGAAAACTGTGACACGAGAATTTTATATATAAGATAATAATTAGTACTAATTGACATCTACACCTCACTAGGGGGGTCAAGGTTGGGGGCAGACCCCTTTAGTTGTTGCTATTGTTGATCCCCGGGGTTGTTGATGGGGACCAACAATCCTGAGTAACTGGATAATGAGCATCTTAAGGCGGATTTCTTAAAAAACTAACTTAAGCTAGGGATGTAACTAGATTTTTTTTATACGGAGTAAATCTCCAATAGAAGCGAAAAAAAAAGGTACGTAACTATCAACATATAATTAACTAAAACTATCAATTATAATTAAATATCACCGATATCAATGGCTTTATGGGGGGAGTTCTTTTGCCTTTCCCTAAAATGGGAAAACCGAATAAAAAAAATATAAAATCAAATGTCAGTCATGGCTGTATGGGTTCAAAGAATTTGCCTTTCGTGTCAATGAAAAATAATTTTTTTTTTTTTACTGAGAACAATGACTACTTAATGCTGGTTATTGTAGAAATAATGATAAACAAAATTGAATAACAATATTGACGCTGCTAATAATAACTGTCGATAATAATCAAATGTCATATGGCTGTATAGGATCGTTAACTTCGCCTTTACTAGCGATGAAAAAAAAATCAAAGAGAACAATAACTAATGCTAATTAATTTAAGATGTAATGGTAAAAAAAATCGAATAACGATGATTGTTACTCGTGATTATCATTGACAGTTCTTATAAGTAACAATTGTCAATAATAATCTTATGGCTGTATGGGTACAAACATTTTGCCTTCCCCATCGAAGTCAAAATAAAACAAAAAAATGCAATCTCCGAACAATGCAGGTTAATTAAGAAACAATGGTAAATAAAATCGCATAACAATATTGACACTGCTTGTTAATTAAATTACGTTTAAAAAAACATGAGATAATTCGCAAGTAATCCGAATGAGTTTGTACCTTTACCTCTCTTTGATAAGGCATATTAATAAACAGAATGTAAATTACAAAACTATTCCACTATCAAGTACTCAGATCATTTTATAATTTAACTACCCACCCCGAATTCGCCCGGGTGTACATGTATTATACATATAAACCTTCCTTTTGAATCACTCTATCTATTAGAAAAAACCGTTTCAAAATCAGTTGCGTAGTTTTAAAGATTTATATGTATATAGCGTCAGACAGCGAAAGCGACTTTATTTTATACTATGTAATGATTTAGTAAGTAAATTATATAAAAATACATATACCTTTTATATTTATACAACTTTTAATGTATAAATAACTTATTTTATATGTTTTAAACTTATAAACAACACAGTTCATATTATCACTTTCACACACGTTTCTCCGGTACCAGCCGCTTGTTATGACTGACCGGTTTGAAATTCCTTACCTCATTAACAACGTACATATTACTAAAACAGTTCATTTCCAACGATTACTATTACGATCGCGTTTATAAATCGCAATGAAACAGACGAAGTAGGGTTAAGTAACTGTATTCTGTCGGCTTAGCGTATTTAAAAAGACCATATTATGACTAACTTCGTCCGTGACTTCGGCCGCGTGGAATATTGACCTTGGATCTGATATCTAATATTTACATATATATAAAAACTAGCTGTCCCAGTAAACGTTATGCCATATAAATTAATAACGCTATAAAAAATAGGGGTTGCTGATAGAAGGGTGAAAATTTAAGATAGTATGTATTTTTTAATGACACAATAAAAAATTATAAAAAAAATTTAGCCCAAAAATAAAAAAAATAATGTTAGGGGTGCACAACCCTTATCAATTAGGGGAATATGAAAAATAGATAGTAGCCGATTCTCAGACCTACTGAATATGCCTATAAAATTTCATAAAAATCGGTTTCAGAGGAGTATGGCAACTAACATTGTGACACGAGGATTTTATATATAAGATTACGTATCACGTTGTTTGTCCGCGATGAACTCCTAAACTACTGAATCGATTGCAAATTTGATTTGCACATTGTATGTAATTTGATCCAACTTGAAAGATAGGATAGCTTACATCTCAATTTATAGTCGCAATATTATTTTATTCAAGAACATTAGCCACAGCAACGCGTGGCCGAGTCTGCTAGTCCAATATATAAGACACACTTTCGAAGGTAATTTATATTTGACAATTGAAATAAACAAAACGCCTTTTTTCACATTAAAATATACAGTGAAAAATTGAAATTCTGACTCCATATATATTTTTTTATACTACGATTGTGGCAATCAAGCAGTTATCAATAAATAGTACATTTTTTAAATTGCTTCTTAACAGTCAAATTGTTCCACGTGATGCTCCATGGTGCATGGTCCCCACGTTGGGAAACACTGGTCTAGACTATCTGTGTACCAAATTTAATTTAAATCGGTTCAGTAGTTTTGGCGTTAAAGCGAGACAGACAGATTGAGTTCCTTTCACATTATTAATATTAGTAAGGATTATTACCCGCTACATGATTTTTTTTTTATTAAAATTAAAAAGTCTAAAATGTAAATAACCTAAGTTACTCCTTATAACATTAGCTACATAGTCCAGTAATATAAAATAAGAAATTAAAAAGCGCCTGAAAAACCAACCTGGCAATTATGTAATATTGCAACTGATATAATTATGAAACTAACAGTTTCCTTGTTTCTAGAAATTTATAGCGTATGTGTCATTCTGATGTATAAGTTATATTATTGTAAAGTTTTATCAATATCTAGTTACTATTTAGTAGTTTTTGTGTGAAATAGTAACAAATATCATGTTAGACATAGACACCTATATAAATATACATTGTAAATAAACTGACTCTTTTAAAAAAAGTAATTTAATTGAGGTTCATGCCAGTTCTTCTTAATTGGATCTATATTGTATTGTAGTGGTGGGTAAAAATTAAAATTATAATGTAAAAAAAATTACGTTTATAAGCGGCTAAAATGTCCTTCATGAATAAATGATTTTTGAATTTTATTCACAAACTTTTTTATAATGTACTTGTATCTAAGATCAACACGATTTGGTAAATTACAATGATTGTAAATGTCTGTCTATCTGACACACATTTACACTGCTGAATGGATCCGATTGAAATATTCCGTGAAGATCGATTATATATACAAGAACTAACATCTTTATCTAAAAAGCAAACAATGTGATGAGACAGCGCTCTGAATGAGAGGTAGATTATAAAAAAAACTAGTTACCCACCCCGGCTTTGCACGGGTGTATATGTATCATACACATAAACCTTCATCTTGAATCACTCTATCTATAAAAAAAAACCGCTTCCAAATCCGTCGCGTAGTTTTAAAGATTTAAGCATACATAGGGACAGACAGCGACAGCGACTTTGTTTTATACTATGTAATTATGTATAATTTATAACATTACTCAATATGGAATTATACACGTATAGTTTTATGTCATTTGACGCAATTACAAAAAGAATTGCCCGTCCCGGGCTCCGACCTGTGGAATCGGAAGCGAGATGAGTAGGTACTACACTCAACTCTCGAGTGGCATTCACCCGAGTAAATCAGTACAAGTTTCACTCTCAAAACACAATCCGGCCCCGGTCCGTTGAACATTATCAATATAACAAGTTTTCTGACCGACCAACCCCCTCCCCCCCTCATCATCCCCCTCCCCCTCGCCCCCTATCGTCAACAAAGTAGAAATTCCCAGATCATTTCCGGGGTATGGCCGTTTCGGAAAGTTCGCGTCGTATCCACATGGACTTTGGGGGATCTTTGAGTGCATCTCGCTAATTAGGGGTTGGACGGCTGGCCGTATGTGGCACTTGAGTGGCATTTCACCCGAGGGTAACTCATCTGGTTTGGTCATAGGGAATCGTCGAGTCAATATTATTATTACATAGTATAAAACAAAGTGTCTGTCCATATGTATACTTAAATCTTTAAGACTAAGCAACGGATTTTGAAGCGGTTTTTTTAATCGATAGAGTGATTCAAGAGGAAGGTTTATATATAATACATGTACACCCGTGCGACGCCGGGGCGAGTAGCTAGTTACAAATAAGTAATAATAATAATCTCAGGACAATTCACACAGCGCCATTTAGACTCAAGTTAAGCTAGCTAAAGCTTGTGTTATGTGTACTAGACAACTGATACAAATACATAGATATATTTTTTTTTCTTAAATACATATATGTTATACATAGAAAACACGCAGACCGATACAAACAAAACAATCATATTCATCATACTGTTGCAAACTATTTTTATACCTTTTTTATTATTTATGTTTTTTTAATAATATTATATTGTTTTTACATAAGTCAATTTAATACAAACATATTCTACAACTAATACCAGTGCCGATTTACTTTTGCTCGTCATCTTGGTCTCCATCCTTCACAAATACAAATGTTTGTTCGTCCGAGGAATCGAACCCGCGACTATCGGAAGTAAAGCGGTGTGCTAAACCGCTAGACCACCGAGGTCGTCAATCAGTAATAGAAATAATCTTTATTAAAATAAACTTGATGGAAGCATTTTTGATTAGTCATATATTTTTTTATTCGAAACGCAGACTCATCACAAGAAGAATGAGCGAAAAACTTGCGTGTTGCTATTCTAAATACATATTATATACTCAATAGAAACTGCTCAATAGATAGAAAGATAGATAGATAGATAATAGTTTTTTTTTGTATCTTAGTACACACATATGGGCTTAATTATAACATCACATGACAAGTACCTATAATATAACAATTCAATAAGGGTAAATCTGCATGTGTGTGCTACAGCAATACAAAACTGGTACATAACTCAGTGTGGAGAATCACTCAAGGAGCAAAACACTGAATTCGAGGGTGAATAATGTACTTTTGTTTATAAAATAAAATGATCTGAATGAAATAATGTGAAATAAATGTATAGGATATAATATATATGATATAACAGCAAAAGTTGACGTAAATAAATAGCTAGTTGAGTAACAAAATAAATGAGTCATAGATATCAGATCAGACCAGTAGAGTGGAAGAATATTAATCACTTATTATTACAAACAATTTACTTGACTGTCAGTGGTCAAATTGTTAAAGGTGCGTCAAAAATGATGAGTTGTGTATTCTAGAATTGTATAGAATAGAAAATCATTTATTCAAATAAAATTTATTTAAGCACTTTTGAATAGTTACAACAATTTTTTTTATCTACCGCTCATTCGGAAAGACTAAAGTGAATTGTATTAGAAATGGGTTTATCCCGGTCTTAGTTGGGCCTGGGGGGAAGCTGCAAGTAGTGCAGGTGAGTGTAAATGCATTCTAAAAGGGCCTTTTAAACCTACACCCGTGTCACAAGTCACGGGCGCTACTTGGGGTTTTCCTTGCGGTAGCCGGCTTCAAAGTCTCAGTCGTCCATCAGAATTAGTGCTTACACAAGGGAGAAAATAAAGTTAAATTCTACGCGGACGAAGTCGTGGGAACAGCTAGTTATTTATAAACATAATAATAATGAGTACCTGTTGTATTACTAAAAAATTTCTGACTTCCTCAATAATATCTTCACACAGCGCAACATGTCCCACACTTAGCCAAGAAGAACGAGCAAGAAACTTGTGTGTTGCTCTTTTAAATAATCCTTGTAAGTTTACATTTACAAGTCGAAACGTGTGAATACAAACTACTAACCAGCACTAATTGTTTTGGGTCAAATATAAATATACAATAAGATTAAATCAGTCGTAGTGATAAGAGCAGACCAGTCCCTACAAGCAGCACTCGTTCACGAATATGAAGGATGAGCCAGCCATCACTGCGCTAGACCATATTTTAGGGAGCACAATCACCAATGAATCAATGAAAACATCTGCCCAGTTCGAATTTGCCTCCCCCAGAACATGCCGCCCGGGGTACGGGATGCACCCCCCAGATCTGGGGCTGCTCCTAGGCAGTGAAATTACAGAATATGAGGTTTGATCTTAATTTAAAGCATTTAATTAGAAAAAAATCACGGGATCTTACCACGTTTTATATTGCTCTTCAGTGTTTCAACCACCATGATTACTGAAGAGCAGCGGGTAGATGGAAAATAAAATCTTTTTATGGGCAGACATATGCGTCTACCTTCACACGTCTTCGTTTGTTGCTACTACTTAAATATACGTAAAGATACTGTGAGTACAGTTTGCCGAGATGAATATCGAGCGAGTTCCAGTAGTAGCCCAGCAAATAAATATAAAACGTGGTAAGATCCCGTGATTTTTACTAATTATACGTATAAATAATGACAGCGTCAAGTTTAAAACAGTATATAACATTTAATTAGACCATCAAGGACGCAAAATAAAATGAAATTTAAATCGGATG